ATGTTATGTTTAATTGAATTGATAAAAAAGACATTTAATATTATTAAAGGTTCATAGAAAATTTTTCTATGTTGGTACTAGGTATTACAGTACTACTATGGTATTAGGATTTACGACATTTACGGCATTTACGACATTTACGGCATTTACGGCATTACGGCATTACGGCATCACGGTTTTACGGTTTACGACTTTTATGACTTTGAGGTCTCATGCCAAAAATCATTTACGGCTTATACGTAATGCCGAATTTGCCGTAATTATGGAATTCCGACGACAAGTATATTTATTACACTCCTCTTCCTATAAAATAAGTTGTTTTTTAAAATTTTAATTCGCGTTTCAAAAATCAGTAGTAAATTTTTTCTTTTCATTTTTTCAGTCCAACTAAGAAGGATGTTAAGAAAAAAAGAAGCAGCAATGATAAAAGAGGGAGAAACGCGTGAAATTTTTTACAAACTATTCTAGTCATTGTTAAAAAAATGATGATTATTGTTTAATTAAAAAAATGAAAAACATGTCAAAACAAAATAGGAAAAACCCAAAAATATACGTAGAAAGCACTCGTTCATTAAAACATATCAATAATCGGATCAGGCTCTTATGATATGGAGATCAAAGTTGGAGCACAGAACAGGACGATGTTAGGATTTTTAAAGCCCATTCATGTATTTTTAAAGCAAGATCTTCCTTTATACTTTAAAGCTGCTCTATCAAATAATTGGGCAAACAAGTCCGAAGATGATGTTACTTTATTCGAAAAAACAAGATGTCTCCAAAAACATTGAATGTATTTTAACGTAATACTAGTTTAATTTACATTAATTAATTGATTAATTAGTAAATCTAAAATTATTAAAACGAAAACTTTTTTTTTCAAAATAGGTACAGTATATATATTTATAATGGAACTATTAATATGGATGATTTGAATCCTAATGAAATTGCCGAACTTTTTATTGCATGCGATGAATTGAATTAGATTTTAATGAATTACTTGATGATTTACAAAATCACCTCATTGCAAACGAAGAAGAGCGAATTCTGCAGAATCTAAATCATCTATATCAAGATTTCAATCATTTAATGTACTCCAAAATAATTAACAATAACCAGCATATCTTCTAAAATCTAATGACTATAAAGATATTTAAAAGCCAATACTTATATCCATTATAGAAAAAGATAGTTTAAGTTTAAAAGAAATTCAAATTTGGGATCATATCATCCAATGGGGAATTGAACAAATTGAAAATTTGGATGGTGAAAAAATTTCAGAGTTGAATGAAGAATATTCTAAAAGATATTATTCCTCTATAATATGACAAAATTACATATGTCAAATTTTATTTCCTAAGGCTTTGTGGGAAGATATTTCACATTATTCATATTTATTGCCATCAAGAATAATAATTGACTCAACGACAATCAATAACAGAAAGCTTGTTTGATTTTTTGCAAGTCGGTTTGCTAACTACTATTCGCAACAAAATTATCCAGTAGCATACGAAAAACACAAGTATAAGTTTTTACAGTCAAACCTTGTAACAGCGGATGAATGAGACACAAGAGAAAATTTTTATTTAAAATCCATTATGGCAAAATTACTAATCTTGTCACAATGGATTTTTATGTTTTTATATGTGAAGCAAAAATTTTAAAAATCCGTTATGACAAGAATTTAATTACAGTCTGCTTTAGCAGGGCTTGACTGTATTTCGTAGTAGTAAAGATGATTTATATTTCATCAAAAATGTGACAATATCAATCAACAAAGCTCTTGTAAAATACAAAATTCTGAACAAATAGTTGGTAGCTACCATCCACATGATTGCAAGGTTACAATTGGGAATAGACCAAAAATTTATAATGATATCAATAATGGTAGTAAATTTGATGAATTGGAGATTTTTCAAATAGATGAAGACCTGTATTAAGATTTATTATGTATTATTTTATTGAAGTTTTTTATTAATAGGCTTATTTTTGGTAAATTAATATGAACTCCATTCTAATAAGTAACTTTTAAAATTATTTTTAATGAACCAATGGTCCAAGTTCTATAGTTTATGCATAAAATTTCATTTTATTAAAAATAATTACAAAAAAAATACAAATATTAAAGATAAAAAATACTATTATAAATAATAGGTGTTCCCATATTTATTGATATGGCTTAAAGGTAATATATGTTCACCAATATTATAGCTATCTGCACCAGATTCTTCCTTATTATAAATCCTTGTTAATTCATCAACAAAATTACTTACTTCTTTAAGTGTCACGCTATATCGTTTCTTCATAAAATCATTATAATTACTAAAATATTTTGATGCCAAGTAATAATATAATTTAAATGGTTGAAAATTCTCTCTTTGAAGTTCTTTTTCTTTTGAATCAAAATGATTTGGATAAGAATCGACTCTGTTATCATAGATACGTTTTTTTGTGTTTAAAGTATAATAATAATCATTGCGATCTTTATCAAATAATTTGTCAATTTCTTCAAATGATTTATATTTATCATCGAAAATATCTTCTTCATTAAATTTTAGCACGAAATTTTTTATGCCTAATTCAATTGGTGTTAAACCAAAGGCATTCTCATCATATAATAACCTATTCAAGTTTTCCTTGCTTTTCTTCTCTTCATTATAATTTTCAATCAAATTCATGATTAGTTTAGTTGTATCAAACAAACTTTCTCTTATTGATAAATGTAAATAATTATTTGATTGAAAATCTTTTAATAATAAGTTCTCTATTGACTTATTTTTATTTAATAAAAAGTTAAATGTATCCTTCCTTCCTTCTAAAATTGCTATTGCGATTGGTGTGAATGAATATTTTTTACTTTGTTTATCCAACATCCTTTGAAATAAATTTGAATCCAATTCTTTATATAATAATTTTAAAGTTGACAAATTACCAAAATATCTTTTTTTCCAAAAATATGTGTAATAATAATAATGAAAATTAATTAATTATAATTAATTAATATTTTTCAAATAAATAAAATAATAATACTTACGCTGCATGATGTAAGGCATTCCATCCATTTTCATCACAAATTTCAGGATCAGTGCTCGTCTCATCAATTAAAACTTTCAAGCATTCGTTTGAAGCGTTCAAAGCTGCATAGATAAATGCGGACACTTTTAATTTTTCATCGCATCTTTTATTTATAAATTTTTCAAATTTAACTTGATCAACTTTCTCCTTATATAGCTCCAATATTTTCTTACAAGTATTTGGCTTGTTTCTATTTATCGCCCAAAATAGAGGTGTTTCGCCATTACTTGCATAATTAATGTCAAAACCATCCTTCTTCTTCTCGCCATCATCATCACCATCATCGCCATCGTTATATAAATGAAATAGATTTTTGCCAATTTCAAAAGATTTATCTTTTGTTCTAACATAATTTTTTGATGATAATTTTTTTGAATCGTAATTAATTTCAAAGTATTTTTGTAGTGAATTTATAGGTCTATCTGATAATAAATATTCAATGGATTTATCACAACCGTAAAAAGATGCATAATTAAGAAAATTATTGTCAATCGGTTTTGTGGATAATGCCGGGTGATTATTTATAATCCAGTTTCTCTTTTTGATTTTATTTGCTTCAATACCTAAATAAACACTATTAAAAATGTTCGTATTAATAAGATTAGTTATTTTTTTATTATTAGCTAAATCAATTAAATATATATGTATATATTATTACTTTGGTTTTTCAATCTTAATAATTTCATTATAATCAATTTTTTCTTTTTTTAATTTAAATTCTGTAAAATAATTTCCACCTGCCCCATACCTAAATAAATGAATTAAATGTTTACAAATATTTTCTACTTATAGATATAATAATAATAATAATAAATAGAAAATTAAAATTTCTACATTCAACTTACTCTATTAATAAATCCATAATATCAAAATATTCATAATAAATAGCGTATTTCATTAAATATTTCTCTTCAATTAAATTTATAATTATATCACCTTTTTCATCATTATCATTTTCAACTAACTCATAGCTTTTAATCCAATCAAACAATTTCTTTACAACATTAATATTATTAATTGTGACTGCTAATGTAATTCCATCAAACGATTTAGAAATCAATTTCGAGTCCTCAACAAAATAACCTTTGTTTTTAGGAGACTTGTATTCGTTTATATGTTTTTTAACAACATAAAAACTAAGTTTTAATAATTGTAATGGAGTAATATTAATAAATTTTGGTTGGAAATAAATTTTATTTTTTCCAGATAATAATTGTTGTTCTGATGGTGGTTCTGCCAAATTTTCATCCAATTCGTTGCTTCGTTGATTAACATAGTAAACAGAATCACTTGATTCTGAATTTTCATCACATGTACTATAATCTACATATTCTTCTATATCGTAATTATTTATCAAGTTTAATTTGTTCTTTTTACGATCGTCCTCAAAAGCTTCATGTTTATATTGATTCTTGGCTATTTCTAATATTTTAATAGCCATTTCATCATGTCCAAGATAGCATGCCAACGTAAAAGGTGTCATTTTGTTGTTATCATAAACACATATGATCAAATTCTTTCCTAGTTCTTCAACCAAGCTGACATCATTGTTCCATACTGCTTCATATAATTTAAAATAATCTTTGTAATAAAACTCTGGTACAATGAAACCAATTTTAGGAAAAGAAGATAAATAATAATATTTAAATATATATTTATTAACATCTTGAATTGTTGGTTCAAACAGCTCATCTATATTGTAATTGTCTAATGATTGTTTCTGTTCAGCGTTATTTTTTGTTAAACTATTGTTGATATTACTATTATTGATAGGATCTAATGCCTTAAAAACTTCTTGTATATGGGTTGATATATCAGCCGAGAATCCTTTTTGATTATTAAGGACCCGTTTAAAAATTGGAATTTGTTTATTCAAAATACTTTCTTTTACTTCTAATAGTTTTAATTCTTCATTATTATTTCCTGTAATCTCAGATTTTTGATCAATTAATTCTTCAACTTGTTTAATTTTCGTATCCAACACCTTTTGATAATTGAGCATTTTTTGATAAGCATCTAATAAAGATTTTTGATAATGTTCGTCCATTACTAATTCAACATACAATTTTGCACCTTTTCCAACAATGTACAGAAAACATTCATCAAGTTTTTTAAGTCGTTCCAATAATTTTTCATCGGCTTTCTCTAAATTTTTTAATGAATCCAAGTAGCCTACACCATGATAAGGATTAATATTTTTTTTTGTAATCAATTTGTAAAGATCATCAACATCAGCCTTTGACAACGTGTAACTTGAATATGAATTTTCTCCTAATTTTTGAATTTCAGATTTAATCAAACTAATGAGATTTTTCTTTTCAACCCTAAAAGATTTCCTGCTAGAAATCTCAAATGAAGTCAATTCATCAAGACAAGAATAAATTTGGTTTTGAACATAATCTAATAACGTTTCACGTGGCGCATATAAGCAATTTATTGAAGCTCCTGATTCTAATAAAGTCTTATAAATACCATTTTCTAATGAGAAAAATATATTTTGTTTTACACCACTAAATAATGTTGTTGATGTAAGTTCTCCTTTGTTTTTTAAGTCAGTTTCTAAATCTTCATATGAAATTTCTGCTTTAGCACCATATTTCAATAAAATATCAACTAATTCTTTGTTGTCGACTTTAATGGCATGTGTAAGTGGTGATTCTCTTAATTTATTAAGAAGATTTATCACATTAATCGCTCTTGGATCCGTATCAAGCAATAATTTTACAAAATTTGGATGCCCTATATTTATGCATATATAGTAAATATAATAATAATAATAATAATAACAACAACAAAAACAGCAATGTTTACCTCGTTTTGTGGCAAGATGCAAAACTGTGTTAAAATTATAATCTAGCTAATAATATTTACATAAACAAAGGCGATTAATAATAAACCATCATGACCATAATTATGATTGCTACTATTAACATATGGAAATATAGAAACCTGTGAGGCAGTTGCACCATTTTCTAATAATATTGTTGCTATTTGCATTCCAATTTGTTGATCATAAACCAATAAACACAAGTCCAATGGATAATAAATTAACTTTGTTTCGGCATAATTACTAATATAAACTTTGCTTTTTCTCGCTCGTCTAACATTAGCACCAACGCTAATCAAATATTTAACCACATCAATATTTCCAAATAATATGGCATAATCTAAAGCAGTAAATTTGTGATCCCATGTTTCAAAATCAATATCAATAATATCCTCTTCCTCTTCCTCCTCTTCCTCCTCCTCCTCTTCATTCTTTTCTGCAACATCATTGTCATTTTCTTCTTCTGGATAATTGTTATCCAATTCTTTTAGATCAACCATCTCTAATGATTTATCCAAATCATCATCAACTTTTGATTCCTGTATTTTGCTGTTTTTTAATTGCTCATTTAGTTTACTTTTTTTAAACAATAAGTCTAAAATATCTAAATGGCCGTGTTGAGATGCTAAATGAACTGAAGTTCTACCATCATTCATTTTTGCAGTAATTTTTGCACCATTTTTCAATAGTAAATCAACAATTTCCAAATGGCCATTTAAAACGGCTAAATGAAGCGGTGATCTGTTAAGATAATCTTTTTCATTTACATCAATATCCTTATTTATAATGTTTTTATCAATCAATTCTCTAATATAATCAATATCGCCTTTTGCCACAGCATCATAAAATTTAAGATTATCAGGTTTTATATAGGCATCAGATATCCATTCATCATAACTTTGAACAAATGAAGAATTATCAAATTTATTGTCAAATTTTAACTCGCCTTTAACGAAATATTTGTCAATATCTTGTAATTCCTCTTCTGTTGCAAGAGTTTCTGCAGGACACAAGCCACAACAATCTTGAAAAATTTGATACATACTTCCAAAAAAACATGGATGACGATGTATTTTACTAGACTTGGAATTCATTGAGTAATCCTATATTTTTTTAAAATATTTTTCAAAAAAATAAATAATTTATATGTATTAAAAAAAACATTTAAAATTAAAATGTTAAAACCTTTGCAATAATCATCTTAGTAATTTTTTTAGCATCAAAATCTGGTCCATAGGGAATAGAAACAATTTCGTAATCATTCATTTCAAATTTGTTTATACGTAAGTTTTGACCTCTATTCCGCCTACGTTGTTGATATTGGTCACCAAGTGGATTGGGGGGACGTATTGACATTTCTCGTCTTTTTTCAGTATAATAGAATCTTTGATCTGTAGTTTTTAATCTTTCTAAAACCAATAAACGAGCTAAGCCATTTAACCTTGAAAATTTACGTTCATAAATGATTGGATTTATAATATCTCTCCGCAGCCCAGGTATTTTTACCTAAATAATAAATTGCATTAATTAAAAATATATATATAAATATAAATGCGTTTCTTGGAAAATAAATTTCTTATAAATACTTCAAAGCCTCTTTCAGCATATTTTGCTAAGCGAACTTCATAGGAAGCGGATCGACACGAAAGATCAATAATATTACATTGTTTAATAAAAGCTTGATGTGTCTTGGGTGCAGCCCAAACATCTTTACCGTCAAAACATACTCTGGTCGAGTCGCTGTGTCATAATCATTATAATAATGTATGTTATCATTATTTTTTTCTTGGTTATTTTTCTACTAAATAAAAATTTAATTACATATCAATGTGCGCCATTAATTCAGCAGGAGTCTTGTAAGGTTTTAAAACAATCTAATCAAATGAAATTATTTAGATTATGATGATGGTTTAGAATCATAATGGACCTATGTATAAAAACTTTTGTATTTTACCTGTATAATACGATATGGATATTTACTAACAATGTTAACTGAGTATTTTCCACGAACACAAACTACTTGGAATGGAACATTTTTGGAAAAAGTTGTAAAAATATCCAACATTTTCTTTTTAGCAGCTTCTTCATCAAGTCCATAAATATACATATCAATATCAGAACTGACGAATGAAGATTTATTGTGGTAATAGTCACGTATCTTATGGACATTTTTATGAAAGATTTTAGGAATTGGTAAAAGACAAGCCATAACTGAACCTCCACCGACAATAACATTATTCCAATCTAAACCTTCCAAACTTTTTTCAGTAAATAAATCCCAATTTTCTTTGAAAGAATCAATACCACCCAAAGTTATTGCAGCCTCGCCTTCCTTTTTCTTTTTGTCTGGCTCTAAAGGCATAACATAAATAGAAGTATCTTTTTCATTCTCGGGAGAATTTGTGATTTTCCAAATATCTTCATTTTCGTAAACTTTGAACATGTTCAAATATTTGTCTGATAATAAAGGGTCATTTGAAGAGGTTTTGAATAATTCACAAAAATAGGAAGCTTTTGATAGAGCCGCATCGATTCCTTGTTCATCTTTTTTGCGAAAAGCAGATAAATAATCCAAAGCAGTTTTATCTTGCATTTGAAAATATTTGTTTGTTATAACACTATATATAAAAATTAATATTAATGTAGTGGTAATAATAATTATTACTGTAAAAATTTCAATGATGGGAAAATTTGGCACTGATAAAAATATAATCTAGTCATTATTATATAGTAATAGGATGTTGTTCCCCGTGACCAAATAAATAAAATAAAAATAATGTATATACACACGACAAAAAAAAAAAATACAAAAAAATACTTTGTATTTATTCAACCAATAAAATTAATAAATAAAATCCCATAATGCATAAATTTTGTGAAATAAGTTAATATATAAGTCATAGATCGAGTATATAGATGTCCACCTTAGGGTGCGACACTTATTAAAATTGGAACGATACAGAGAAGATTAGCATGGCCCCTGCACAAGGATGACACGTTCAATCTTGAGTGGATAGTACCTTCGGGTACAAAATTTTTTTTTTATATTTCATATTTATTATAGTTGAAAAGAATGTTAAAAAAAAGAATTTAAACTTTGTTCTGGCTTTTTAGACATTTATAAAAAAGCTTTTTTTTTTGATAAAACATACATTATTTCCATATAGTAGTAATTTTCTTTTTTTCAGAGAACACCTTCTTTTATGATTTGATTGAATGTGAACAGTTTAATTCAACCAATCAATAATTAATTAATGAATCAGGATGATGGTAATAAGTGGAAGAAACTGTAAATTTGATTACTTTGCTAATAATACCACATGAATTTTTATTACATCCAGAGGTGTAGTAAGTCCAGCTGCTATACCCCAGTTATCAACCTAATGGAAGCTTCCCAAGGTTCAATTTTTGATGGTTTGTGTTTTGTACATCAAATACTTTTTAAATATTCATATATTGGAATTTGCATGTGGATGGATATGTCTAGAAGGTAAACAAATAAAATTAGAGAGGAAGAGGAATTAAATTTTTATAGAAAATGTAATCAAACAATCAAATAACAATCAAATAATAATAATAATAAAACCATACATGTATAAATTATAGATATGGTTTTTACTAATTCCATACATCATCTATACGCACATTTTCAATACCATCCATTCTTGAATTAATAATTTTTATCATTGTTGATGTTCACTAATTTGATTAATATATATATATATATTCTTTTGAAACATAGATCTCAAAGCAAACAATGTTGAATGATATTGTATAATTTCCTGTTGTAACAATAATAATATTCTTAATATACCTGTGATTTCATTACCTGTTAAAATTAGGATTATATATATTCAGGAATAAGTGTAATAATTGGTAGTGTTCCTAAAGGTATGATTATAATGATGATTATTGGTTATGGTAATGACAAAAGTTTAAAAATTTAATCATTATATTTCAATTTATGACATTATTAATTATGAATCAAAATGTTTACCATGATTGCTGCATCAGTCTTATACTGTATATATATTTATTGAAAAAAGTTTGTTTAATTTATTACCACTATAGCTTGCTTCGTATTTATTGAATATTTAATATTTTAAACTTTTCAGAATTTCAATAATATAGTATGGCGAGGAACTCTTAAACCACCAAGCTTGCACATGATCTTTGAAAGAATAGAAGCTTGTTGGCTGCAAAACTCATGACTATAAATTATAATGATTATATCAGAGTAATCTGCATGTATTGATATTTATAACAAATGAAATTTAAAAAGAAACAGTACCATTTAAACTTCATTCAAGTTCAAAATGCGATGAGATTTTTTGAAAGATCAACATTTGATACTAATAAAAAGGACAATATTTAAAATGTGAATTTTTTTTAAATTGAAATCACTAAGATTAATTGTGCACAAAGGAACAACTTACAGCACCAAGTTCATCAACATTCCATGTTTCAAAACGTTTTTATTATTTAAACTTTTCATAAATTAATTAAAGGTTCAATACATCAGGAATTTATTGTTTATATATTAATGTTTTACCTATAAAAGTACTGCAAGGTATTTTTTGGTCAATACCGATTGTTTTACGTTTATGATGAATTTGAATTAACTTTTTGGTTTGATTGTGGCCTGAGATTCAAGAAAGAAATGGATTTCAAGTTTTTACATTCAATGCTTGTCGATTAACTTATTTTACGAATTTATTCAACATTTTTTTTGCTTGCTTGCCTCTTTCTTGTGCTTTAGTGATCCATAACCATGATATGTAATGATTTACAATAAATAAAATAAATATGGCCTTTTCTAAGTTCCTTTTTTATTCACTTTACTTTTGGTTAATAAGTGTCAGCACTTTTATATTTGGTTAATTGATAACAACCGTTAACACTTTATACTTTTGCTGAACAGTTTTAACACCTTACGTTTACATGTGAGCACTTTTACAAAAACTTGAACAAAAATTAAACCTTTATTAAGCGGAAACCTTACTTATTTATTTGATTTCTAATGAAGTAGAAATAACAACCACAATAATCAATCACAGCAACTTATGACGTGAAAAGTAAATGACTATTTTCTCAACTAGATACTGATTTAGGTTTAGTTGATTTTGTTATAAATATTAAAAGATAAAAAATGTTTTGGAAAATAATACCATATATAAAAATTATTGAAACAAATCAATAACGTTTTTTCTTTAGAATATTCCAAGGAATGCTATATATTGGCAAAGCTTGAATTAAAGAAATATTATTGCACCAATTTCATAAATAAACACATGTGTGATAGATTGAAAATTTGCCATCAATGCATGACCTCTTTCTAAAATTTGTAATTTTGTTTGATTTCTTGAAAGTCTTCAGATTCAAATGCATATGCTCTCAAAAAATTTGAATACTGAGATAAGGTGTTCACTATAGTTCGAAAAAAAATATATCATTATAACAAAATTTTAAAAAACTTGCTTCGTTGAAATAGGGTTATTTATTAAAAATAAATTTTTTGTCTAGTAGCTCGATTTTACTATATAACAAAATGGTGATAAATTTTAAAATGTAAAGGTTCAATTTTGATTTTTACTATTTGGTGTCAAATTTTTCATTATATTAATCGTCACGAAAATTGTTATTTGTCACGGTGTTATCTCTCGAGATTTTTACGGTATTAAATAAACAACTCTAGTTTGTTATTGCTATATAGTGAATTTTATTATTGATTTAAACAGAATATTCCTTATTACTTTATTATCAAAGAGATAAATAATTTAATATATATATATAATAATTACATATATATTGCAGAAATAAATATCTAATTGAAAGAATAAATAACATACAAAACATACATTTTATCTATCAATTTATTTTGTTTGATTAGATTTTGATTAATCTTCACCGGCTGGTACTTCCTCCTTTAAATATCTAATAAACTTCACTCTCATTTCAGTTTGATCATCACCTTTTAATACATCACTAATAAAATATGCTTCAACTTGTAGTTGAACCTTTTAGGAGATTTAAATTATTAATATGAAAAT